TTCGGGTTCCGAGTCCCGGTCCCTCCCAGCGCGCCCTCCCCGCCCCGCCCGGCCCCGCCCGCCCGGACTTCGGCCCCGGCCGAGCCCCGGTGGGTCCGGGGGGGGCGGGCTCGGGGTCCCCCCGCCCCGCGTGGGCGCACAGAGCCCCCTTTGTGCCCGCCGCGGCCCCCTCCCCCCCTGGCACCGCACAAAGCCGCGATTGTGGCCGGCGGGACGGGCGGGGGGGTCCGAGCCCCCCGAAACCGGGACCCCCGGGGGCACGGGGAGTGCGGGACCCCCCCCCTTCCCGAGCCGTGACTCAGGCCCCGGTCAAAGRCGGCTTTGTCCGGCCCGGACCCCTCCGGGGGCGGCTCGGGAAGGGCCCCCCCGACCCGGCCCGGCTATTTCGGAGGGGCTATAAAAAGGTCCCAGCTGCGACCGCAGCGGCCCCCAGCCCCGGGGGTGGGCGCGGGGGGCCCGAACCGGGGGGCGCCGCCGCCCCCGGGACACAGCGGGGGGGTCCCGGGACTGTTGGGGGCGGTCAGGATCCACCACCCCCACACCGCACCGGATCCTCGCAGCCTTGAACGTGTCGGGGCAGCCCCGGTGAATGATTAACGGCGGCTCCGAGGGTCTCACCGGGACCCTCCGGGCTGCACCTGCCCGGGGCGGGGGGCGATGCTGGTGCTGGGTCCCCCCCCGGGCGCCGCGGCGGCGGCGGGAGCGGCGTTATCAGCGCGGGGCCCCCGCTGGCAGCTCCGGCACGTCCCCGCTATCAGCCCCGGCCCCCGCCGCCGCCAGGAATAGCACCGGGCCACCGGGAGGGGACACCGGGAGGGGACAGCCGCGACCTCCTGCCCTCGGCCCCGCCGGCGGCACAAAGGGGGCTCTGTGCGCCGCGCCCCAGCCCCGAACAAAGGGGGCTCTCAGAGGGGCCGGGGATCGCGGATTTGGGGAGTGCAGAGCCCGGAGCGCTCCCCTCGGTGTCTCTCCGGTGTTCCCTCGGTGTCGCCGCACTGTCCCCGAGTTCGCCGCGCTGTCCCCGAGCCGCTCTCGGTGCCGCAGGTGGCACCTGAGGCGGCGCCGGTGGCACACGGAGCGGGCGGGGGGCGCGCCGAGGGGTCCCCCCCGTGTGTCCCCACCGTGTGTCCCCCACCCCCGGACACCCCCAGACACCCCCGGGCACCTCGGGGTGACGCCGGCCCCACCTGCGCGTCCCAGCCCTCGGTGTTTTTCCTTTTGGGACGGGAAAACAACTCCCGGGCGGCCCCGGCCCTTCCGGGGTGCCGGGGGTGCGGCGCGGGCAGGGCCGGGGTCCTCCCGAGGGTCCCCTCTGGAGGATCCCCCCACCCCAAATGCCCCTCGGGGGGTCCCCACCCGGTCCCGGTCCCGGCCGGATCCCGAAGGCAGCGGAGGGTCCCGGCCCCGCAGCCTAAAATTAGCCCGGGCAGCTGCGGGGCCGCAGGTGCCGAGCCCGGGAGGGG